GAAATATGCTCCCAAAGTATATAGGCAGGTCCTGGTCTAGAAGTAACTAAAAAGTGTCTTTAAAGGTAGCCATGTTAGTTGTACATGGTGGTGCAAGCCTTTAATCCCAGCCCTCAGGAGGCAGAGACAGGCAGATCTTTGTTCTTGACGTCAGCCTGGTCTACGTAGTGAGTTCCAGGACTGCCAGAGCTGCGTAGTAAGACCATGTCTCGAGAGTTAAAGATAGAGGATAGGAAGAAAAGGAAAGAAAGCCATGTTTTGCAGTAATCATTTGGTAATCAACAGTAAATGTGAAGATGCTGTTAAGTTGTATCAGTTCAGGATACTTCATTTTTCATAAGAGGAGAAAATGCAGGAAGGGCCATTATGACACAAGAATATATTCTATTCTGCTGGCTTTATGATTTCATGTATTGGTTTTTTTTAGTGACAGTTCCTTCTTTATGAGTGACTACCTCAAGGAATTGGTGTACGCCTGGTGTCTGAAGGTCAAGAGAAGTTAATTAAGCAAGGAAAGTTTGTAATACCCTCCGTTTTTCTATTTAGGAAGAAACATTCATGAACAGAGTGGAAGTTAAAGTAAAGATTCCGGAAGAGCTGAAACCATGGCTTGTTGATGACTGGGACTTGATTACCAGACAAAAGCAGGTAACTTGAGAATGACACGGGTTGTAGTTATGTATATTTGACAAAAAGAAAAAAAGCTTAAAGGTTTTTTGCAGGGAGGGGTTGTTTTTTGTCTCTTTTTTGAGACAGGGTTTCTCTATGTAACAGCCCTGGCTATTCACTTTGTAGACCAGGTTGGCCTCGACCTCATTAAGATCTACTTCCCTCTGCCTCCCAAGTGTGGAGAATTACAAGTGTGCACCATCCAGCAAATACTTGAAGTTATATGATTGAAATATTTTAATATAATTTTATGATTTTTCTTTTTTTTGCCTCTGTATGTCTACATGGCATGGCCTGTGTGCAGTGCCTGTGGAGGTCAGAAGAGGGCATTGTATCTCCTGGAACTGGAGTACCTGATGGCAAGACACCATGTAGGGTGCTGGGAATTGAACCTAGGTCCCCTGATGCTCTTAATTGCTGAGCCATCTCTCCAGTTTTTATATTAGTTTATGATGATTAAGAAAGTCGGAGGTTGCAGGAGCAACCTCTTCTAGAAAGCTAATAGGCAGAGACAGGCATTTTAATCTTAGTGTTGCTGACAATGGAGCATTTATTTATACATGTTCTGATAATAGAGTATACTAGAAAGTATATAGCTTTACTGGCAATTGATCCTGAATGTAAAATAAGGTCCTAGGTTTAATTACCCATTTGTAGGATGTTGCATAATTTTCTCCTCAAGAGGACACAGAATTGACCGTGTTAGGTAGAATGGATCCCATCAGCTGGCCAGCTTGGCAAACCAGTGAAGTTTTGGGGTTTATAGAGCATAAATGATGGGTTGGGTACAGAAATGTTAGTAGCAGTTAAAAAGTAGGTATGCCAAGCCCACTCTTTTTGGTTTTTTGAGACAGGGTTTCACTGTGGCTTTGGAGCCTGTCCTAGCTCTTGTAGACCAGGATGGCCTCCAACTCACAGATCTGCCTGCCTCTGCCTCCCGAGTGCTGGGATTAAAGGCGTGCGCCACCACTGCCCAGCTTGAAAAGCCCACTCTTTAAATGAACCATTGTAGGTGGGGACTACTTGTTCATTCCTTGCCACCCAGACCCAAAATAATCACATAGAAACTATATTAATTACAATACTCCTTGGCCGGTTAGCTCAGACTTCTTGTTAACTAATTGTTACATCTTAAAATAACCCATTTCTATTATTTTGGTTTTACCACTAGGCTTGTGGTTTACCGGTAAGGTTCTGAGCGTCTTGTCTCCTGTGGTTACTTGGTGGTGTCTCTCTAACTCCGCCTTCTTTTCTGCTTGACATTGTGGGAAGGAATGTAATTTTTTTCATAAACAGTGTGTTCACATTTTTTTTCCCTAGCTTTTTTATCTTCCTGCTAAGAAGAATGTGGATTCCATTTTGGAGGATTATGCAAATTATAAGAAATCTCGAGGAAATACAGATAATAAGTAAGAATAAACCCTTTTGACTATGCACAAAGTACTTATGTACTGTTTAGATATAATTGAAACTATACTGTAGGTACTTACACAGTCATTAAATTTTTTGCTACTTTGAAGGCATACTTTCTTATTTTGTCAGGACTGTAGTTTTCCAAGTTCCTTATTACATAAACTGGTTTTACTAGTTTAAAATGAGTTGCAAGAAGCGGGCCCCCCCTTGTTTGTCCCAGGCGCCCAGATAGCTTACACACAGAAATAACAGAAACTGTATTAATTTAAACACTGCTTGGCCATTAGCTCTAACTTCTTATTGGCTAACTCTTACATAATAGTTTAACCCATTTTTATCAATCTGTTTATCACCATGAGGTCATGGCCTACCAGAAAAGTTTCAGTACATCTACCTCCGGCTGCAGATCCATGGCCTCTCTCTGACTCTGCTTTCTTCCTCCCAGAATTCAGTTCTGTCTGTCCTATCAGCTAGGCTAAGGCAGTTTATTCATTAACCAATAAAAGCAACACACAAACAGAAGGAACTCCTACACCAAAAATGTCTTCGCTATAGTTTAACATTTATATCCTCTCCTGAAAGGAAATATTTTGAAAGTAATGATTTTGTTCTTTTATCAGGGAGTATGCCGTCAATGAGGTTGTAGCAGGGATAAAGGAGTACTTTAATGTAATGCTGGGCACTCAGCTGCTCTACAAATTTGAGAGACCACAATATGCTGAGATTCTTGCAGATCATCCTGATGCACCCATGTCCCAGGTGTATGGAGCACCACACTTACTGAGATTATTTGGTAAGAAGACTTTAAGAAACATGGCTTTATTCACACCCCTCCCCCCCATTTTAGGCCTTTAATAATTTGATCTAAATTTTGGTCTTTACTAAATGACTCAGAGGTAAAATAACAAAACATAACTTTCAGTTTGAATTTTTCTTTAAAATTTTATTTAAAAAAGTTTAAATAGCAAATTTTTTTGAAAAAGAATTTTGATAAATTATTAGCAAGACTGGATGGAGCTCAATGCATAAAATCCAGGTGTGAGGGAACTTCCCCCCTTCCCCACAAAACCCACATAAAAAGCTGAGTATTGTAGTGTGGACACTTTTGGAGAGATAGATATGTCTTGGGTTCTCATTGACTTCCCTGACTTAATTAGTGAACCCCAGTCCAGTGGGTGGTACTTGAGGAAAGATGTATTTCTTGCTGTCCTTAGCTTGTAGGACACGGACACATACGCACACGCATCTGTGCTTACACATAAAATCATTTAGGTTTATGAAATCTGTGACAGCCCATTTACTTCTTACATAGTTAACATGTATGGTTACAGTGCTGCCTTTGAATATAACTAACTCAATTCTTTTGTTAAATAGTGCGAATTGGAGCAATGTTGGCCTATACACCTCTAGATGAGAAAAGCCTTGCTTTATTACTGAACTATCTACATGATTTCCTCAAGTAAGTTTAATTGACATCAAACAGTTGGAATGGTTACTTAAAATTAATGTATGAAAAGAGATATTGACATAATCACTAAAAATAAGTAGTTTACTTTTACAGATGTCAGTAAGGCACTAGAACAATATAAACAGCATATATAGGAATTACACAGATGATGGAGAGTAGCCACATAGGTGATGTATGTGAAATGATGGAATGATTAAATCTCCAAGCTATTAAGACAGTGAAAACATCATAGGTTAATTTTGTAGATTTATAGTCACATACATGTATTAGAGAGTAGAAAGATAAACTGTTAAGGGGATAAATAATGAGAAATAGCAATAATGTCAATGTTGGGCTGATGTCTTACACCTGTCAAAATTGAGTTTGAAGAATTTTTTTTAAAGTTTGAGGCCAGACTGATCTATATATTGAGACCTGTCTCGAATAATGTCAAATGATATAATACAAATATAAGTTAACAGTAAACATCTTTTTGTCATGGTTAAGTTTAAGAGATTGAAGAAATGTTGGATGGCATTATAGGGAAGAACTTAAAACCAAGCAGATTTTGAAAATAATAGTTTGCTCTAAATACTGAATTGAAGAAGAAATCAGCTGTAGTGGCAGGTGGTGTTCTGATCTTGTTTGGAGAACAACATTCAATTTGAAGAAGACTGGACTTTTCATAATATTGGTCGTAGTTACTGTGGATTACTTTTTGGACTTGGGAAAGGTTAGAGTTTATTATTTATAGCCCTTTTTCTAACACTGGTGAATATTTTCTCCAGACTCCAGTTTCTTTGATAATACAGAAATGCACTCTTATTTCACATCCCTTTATTTCCGGTGTGGGCTTGGAATTCCATGTGCGGAATTGAACAGTCTTGAAAAAGCTAAAGAAAACAAGTATTATTGTTTTAAGGGTAGTGCTGCTATATAATAGGATAGCTGTTTTGCAGGTCCCATAGGTTATTCCTTGTTTAGAAGAGAGTAACTTGTCACTAATGCATCTTTGTTACCTAACTGGTTTGAATTGTAGTCATGTGGTCAGTGATCTATGTGTCACTATATAGTTAGTATCAATATAACTTTTACCATTTTTACAGTGAGTTAACGTTTATCTTTTTTAGGTACCTGGCGAAGAATTCTGCAACCTTGTTCAGTGCCAGTGATTATGAAGTGGCTCCTCCTGAGTACCATCGGAAAGCTGTGTGAGGGGTGTGCCCTCCCCCCGCTCATGCTTGGATCTCTGTAAACAGTTTGGTTCTTAGTCCTTCTCTTGTACAAATGATGTACTTTGAAGACGCGTTAGTGTATAACAGAATTGATGTTTGTTTTCTGTTTGATTTTAAACAGAGAAAATAAAAGGAGTCACAGCTCCTTTTTCCTTTCTTTTTTTCATTTCAAAGTTTCTACCAGTGTATTCAGTGATGGACAGCAGAGGGACATGCTGTAGAGTGTTTTATTGCTTAGTTGATAAAGCTGCTTTTGAATGCTGGTGGTTCTGTTCCTTTGACACTACGCACTTTTATATGTGTTAATGCTCTATGACAAAATGCTCTGATTCCTAGTGCCAAAGGTTCACTTCAGTGTATATAACTGAACACTCATCCATCTGTGCTTTTTTTTTTTTTTAAATGGTGCTTAAAGAGCCCATCCTTTGCAAGTCATCCATGTTGTTCCTTAGGCATTTTATCTTTGCTTAATTGTTAAAGAATGGTGGCTTGTTTCATGGTTTTTGTATTTGTGTCTAATGCACGTTTTAACATGATAGACGCAATGCATCGTGTAGTTACAGTTTTATGGAAAAGTCAATCTTGTAGGAGTTCTTTTTCAGATCTTCAATAAATTTTTTCTTTAAATTTCAAGAGATTGCGTGACTGTGTTATCAATACTTGGCATATTGTATATTTGTGATTAGATACTGTTTTCTCAGGAGATTGTTGTTTATGGAATGGAAAGCTTACTTGGATGTGGAGTAAATAAACTACTAGTGGTAGAAAATTGTTATCTAAAAGGCTAGATGTGGACAGCACATGATAGTACCTTCTGTTACTCAGATTCTTGGAAATTTTTGAGCAGTTGGGGCATTTTTAGTTGTGTTAAAATTGCTTTCAGTTAGTGATTGTTTGTATTTAAGGAGTTTCTTTGAGAAATGAGCTAAAATCATAAAATGCAGTTAGTTCATTGGGATATTGGTTGGTAAATGGCAACAATGTTATCTTTGAGGTGCCAGAGTGATTTAGACAGAATATTGGGAATTGTTCAGATGGAAAGATCTAGAGGAGTACAGGGAAGAGAGATTGAGTGAGAGTAAGTGTTGAAGCAGTATGTATTCATGGTCCCTTGATCTGCATTTGATTAGATGTTTAAAGATTTGCTTGTGGGGTGGGAGATAGTTCACTGTTGATTACCTATTGAGGTCTTGGGTTCAATCCATAGCACAAAGTGGGGAATAAACCTACCTGTTTCTTTGCTCCATGCAAGATGATAAGGGTAGTGGGTTTTTGTTTCTGTTTTTTCCTGTATTCCAATGCCTGTTATTGTTTGCAATTGCAGTAGAGTTTTTGTGAGGCAGGGAGAACTTGACACATTGCACATGTGGATGCACTTTGCACATGCGTTCTGGGGGTTGAACCCCAGATCCCTGGCCCCAGTAGTGTACTGTATTTTTACTCAGTCAAGATGGTTTTCATGAGTCATTTAATTTATGCAACCTTATACCTAAGTTAGACTGAAGTTTTCTATAACAGCAGCTATACTGAAGCCTTTTTTTGTTTTTTGACATTTATTTTACTGTCTTAAAAGTATAGCCAGGTATGATAATAAACACTTATAACCCTGGTGTTTGGAAGTCGAAGGAAGAGCACAAGTTCTGGCCCATCCTGGTCTGACTTCGTACCATAAAGACCTTTTATTTGTTTTCGAGATAGGGTTTCTCTGGGTAGCCCTGGATGTCTTGGAACTTGCTCTGTGACCTCAAATTCAAACATTGCTTTCCTCTACTCCCTGAGTGCTGGGATTAAAGGTGTGTGCCTGGCCCATTCCTCTCTTAATCCTTGTTTACAAAGTAAGTTTATTGGTAAAATGGGACTGGGGAGGTGGCTTGGAGGGCAAGGGTACTAGGCATGAAAACCTGATGATCCAAATTGGATCCCTAGAGCATAAAAAAATTCTGTAATCCCAACATCTATATAGAGAACGTAGAGACAGGAGAATGACTTGAAAGCTTGCAGGCCAACTAGCAGCAGAAACAGGGCCTTGCCTTAGCAGAGTAGAAGGAAGAATCAACTCCTAGACTCATGAAACACAAGGGGGGAAAATACCAAGAAGCTTGTAAGCTGCAGAACAGCATTATTTAGGTACAGTTTTGGAATTTGAAATGTAGTGATCCAGTATTTGTAGTGTCAGCTGCTGGGTAGACTGTAGTAGGAGGGTCAGTCAAGACCAGCCTATAGAGGATACCATGTCCAAGATGAAAAAGCTGGCTATACATGAGTTACCTGATTGAGACCGAAAGTTTAAACACTTGGTCTCTAGCTGGCAGCACTGCTTAGGTAGGGGCCTGTCTGGGAGAAGTAGGCCCCATTTGGGTGATCTATTCCTGGTTCCTTCATGCCGTACACATTGCTCCCTTACTTGCTAGTATGTAAACAGATTGTACTCATTCTGCTTCCCCTGTCTTGGTGAACTCTAAGCCTTGAAATTTTGAGCTGGAATAAACCAGGGATTTGCCACAACAATGAATAACACGTTAATGGAGAAATCAGGTTGTAGCCTTTAGTGATGTTCCCGAGAACAAGAAAAATTTGAGGAAGTGGGAGAACAAAAATTGTGTTTTTCCTGCAAGTATGTCTGTGCCCTATGTGTCTCTTCCTCATTCCCATAGAGGTCAGGAGAGGTCATTGGAGCTCCTGGGATTTGAGTTAGGGAAAGCTGTGAGCTGCCATGTGGGTGGTGCAAACTGAACCTGGGCCCTCTGGAAGAGTAGCCAGTGCTTTTAACTGCTGAATCTTCTCTCCAGCCCCAACCATTAGAATTTTCGCCTTGTATATTTTAATCAGGAGATAAGATTACAGAGGTTAATTTATCTGTGTGCATTTAGCTAAGTGACAGAGCTGAATATAAGTATCACCCACACAATGATTCATTGACTGCTGTGAATTATAACACCCATTCTCTTTCTACCTCTTTGGTATCTATCATGGTGTTTATATTTTAAGTGTTCTGGGTGAAACCTGATGCCATTCCCTTAAAACTAATGACTTTCATTTTGCTCTTGCTTGATTCCTGGGAAAAGCCAAATTAGGTTAATGACCCATTAGCATCTCATCTCATAGCCCAGGCTGGCTTGGAACTTTTTTGTTTGTTTTTCCAGAGCCGGATTTCTCTTTGTAGCCTGTCCTGAAACTAGCTCTTGTAGACCAGGCTGGCTCAGAAGTCAGATTCGCCTGCCTCCCGAGTGCTGGGATTAAAGGCGTGTGCCACCACTGCCTGGCTGAGTTTATCAGTCTTTTGCCTTAGCCTCCCAAGTATTGAGGTTACAGGCATGCTCCATGTTCCACCATACCCATCTTAAGCCTCCCTCCCCACCCACATTGACCTGTTGGCCTGAAATTTGCTGTGTAGGCTGGTGTCAAACTGGTGGCCTCTGCCTTCTGATCACACGAATCTATCTGTCCCGTGCCCATTATGTGTGTATGTACATATGTAGAAAGGACATTCGCTTGCCTGTGTGTGCGTGTCAGATTGTAGACAGTTGTGAGCTGCCATGTGGGTGCTGGGGATTGAGCCATTAGCCCCTCCAATGCCTACCCATATTAATACCATTTCTAAATCTTGATACCATTTCCCCTCCCCCCTCCCTCTCCAGTCCTGAGAAGTCAGGGTGCCCTGCTGTGTAGTATTTTTCCATAGCAGAGACATAAGCAAAATTGAAAGAGCGTACACTACAGAATGCCGAGAGATGTAAGAGGAAGTAGAACTTCAGCATTCCTGGACCCCCAAGGTCACAAAAAACAGGCAGTTTGACTTGCCTTGCAGTTATGAAAACCAGTTACCCCAAACAGCATTTTCTGGGCCAGCCACACACCTTGTGCACTTCACACAAACATGTGTCCCTCCTGTACCTTCATACTGAGCCCAGGATTTGGAGATATCAACCTCTAAGACCAATAAAGGTTTGTTTCATTGTTTTGAGTTTAATAGATGTTTAAAGGAGACAATTGAAAATGAGGAAAGTAACAAAATTAAGACCAATATAAAGTCATAGCACTGCTCCACCAGTATCAAGAACAAAATGGCACACCCATATTTAATGCAATTTAAATTGAAATAAAATAATTTGCAGCTTTCAACTTTAGAAAAATAAGTCAGAAAATATCAGTAAATCTAAATCGAAAAAAAAGTATAAAGAAGGTGAGAGATGCGTGGAGTACTGAGGTATGGTTAAAACTAGGTATGAGTAAGATGTGAAGTTACTCTCTGTTTGTTGTGAATATGTTTTATTATCATTGGTTAATAAAGCTGATTCTGCTTATGGCAGGGCAAAATAAAGCCAGGTGGGAAAAATCTGAACAGATAGTAGGCAGAGTAAGGGAGATACCATGTAGCTGCCAAAAGAGACAGACCCAGAACCTTACCCAGTAAGCCACGGAATAATAAAAATAGGTTAATTAAAAGATATGAGCTAGTCAATAAAAAGCCTGAGCTAACAGGCCAAACAGTGATGCAGTTAATATAGTTTCTGTGTGTTTATCCAGGTCTGGGCGGCTGAGAGCAAACAAGCAGTCTCCCTCAAAAGACTTGTTGATTTTTATAAAATAAGCTTCCTAATAATGGTGATACACAATTTGTTTTATTATCCAGTGACAAAAACTATAGAGTCATCTGGGAAGTGGGAACCTCAGTCGAGGAATTCTATCCATCACATTGGCCAGTGAGCATGTTTAGGCCATTTTTTTGTTAATGATTTTTGCAGGGCCCTACCCATTGTACCCCTGGGTGACATAAAACAGGCTGAACAAGCTAGAAAAGCAGTCTTCTTATGTGGTCTCTGCTTCAAGCTCTTGGCTTGAGCTCTTGCCCTGGCTTTCATAGATGATGGACCAACTGTAATCATTAAGAAATAAACATTTTTTCCCCTCAAGTTGATCATGGTGTTAATTACAGCAACAGAAAGCAAACTACAAATTCAGGGTAGCAATTTATTAAAAAATAATCTGGATGCACACCTTTCTAGGTCTGGTTGGATGGGGGGAGAGCCTTGGACTTCCTACACAGCAGGGCACCCTGACTTCTCAGGACTGGAGAGGGAGGGGGGAGGGGAAATGGGAGGAGGTAGAAAATTTTAATAAATTAAAAACAAAACAAAAAATAAGAATCTTGGGGCCAGGTACCTAGGTTTCTCAGTGGTAGTGTGTAGCTAGCACTTTTAAGACCCTGGTTTCTTTATAAAAGAAGAAACTATCTTCATTATACACACCAATCCAAGTTTCCACTCCTTCCCCTCCTCCCATTCCCTCCACACACCCTTCTGTCCCATCCCCATTCAATCCTCAAAGAGGGTAAGGCACATTTCTTTGGTGGAACTTCCAAGGTCCTACTATATCTAGGGTGAGCAAGGTATCCATCCAAAGAGAGTAGGGTCCCAAAAAGCTAGTACATGTATTAGGATAAATCATGGTGCCACTGCCAGTGGCCCCTCACACTACCCCAGCAATTCAACTGTCAACCACATTCAGAGGGACTAACCAGTTCTAATGCTTGTTCCCAGTCCAGTTGGAGTTGGTGAGCTCCTATTAGCTCAGATAGACTTTCAGTGGGTGAACCCATCATGGTCTTGACCTCATTGCTCATATTCTCATTC